CCCTTTATAGCTTGCTGTTCGGTGTGAGCCAAGGCTACGTGTTGAAGGCCGTACTTTGACCTATAATTGTTTCCTTTTACACATTGTGACTTGGATGGATAGTTGTCTCATTGATACTCATACCACATCTTCTTATTTATACTTGAAGCACCTACCTATTGTATTTATTGTAAATTTGATCTCTCCCTGAATATGCATGAAATATTTGCCACTGGAATTTAAGCTAGCAACAAATAATCAATATACAATATGGAAAAAACATCGAACTGCAATTTTAGCAATTTTATATTTAACAACAACGCAAGAATGATGACCCATTTATATAACGAAAGAAGTAAAAGTTATATAATCATTTGAATGTTGAATTGGTCAAAATCTAAGATTTACGCCGGTTTGTGTCTGTTTTATTTATCAAGCTTTCTGCACGTTAAAAAAAAAAACTCTTTCAAAAACTCTATGCGGGGTTCGTAGGTGTCCTGCTAAACAGCATACCATAATATTCATGTGGCAGTTCAAAGTTCAACCATACCTAGTGCATCAATAGTTAATTTAATCTCGTTTTGAATATGCATGACATGTTCGGAAATTATACAAGCAACAGATGTATGTAACAACACACCTGAATGGCGAACCGCTTTTAAAAAACTTTCTGAAAGAATTTGATCGTAGTTCATTTTGTTTTGAATTGCTACCGTCTAGTCTTCTTTCTGTTTATACAATTTTGTATTCCTCTAGGTACGGTTCAATGCCCTTGTACCGAATATCAGACAAAAATAGCTCGTCTGATCAGTAAGCTGTGCTTTGGGAAGATACAGTTTCATTTTGTTTTTGTTATCTTTTTGTAAATGTATTTTTTAATTTGTTCTACTTTAATTAAAGATTTGAAAAAAAAGATATGTTATATCATATGAAGGCTGTCATGGATGAGCAATTTTATTGAGGTTGTTGTGTAATATCACATGAGACCATGCAAAGTCAGCATTTTTTTTAAATAACTTGATAAAACACAAAATTTTTAAATATTTTGTTAACCAGTAGGCTGTGCTTTGGAAGGAAACACTATCATTATTTTCATGTTAACTTTTTTGTCGACACTGACCCCTTTCTATTACACTTAAGAAAGGAGTCCGTTTGGCCGTGCGGATGTATTAATACGAAGCGACATCCAGTAGGAACGGGGTCGTTAATTCCGTTGCCTTGTGTAGGATGAGTGGCGTGCTCTCTGCACGTTAAAGAACCCTTGCAACAGTTTTATGAGGGATCCAATAGTGACCTACTTCCCCATTTCAAGCTTACCCAATTTTCATATGGCAGTCCAAATTTCCAGACATTCATTCCGGTCGACCTTACTATTGTATTACTTATTTATTTGATCTCGCCCTGAATATGCACGAGATATTTGCCACTGGAATTTAAGCAAGCAACTCATAATCAATATACAAAACTTTGAAATAGATCCAACAGTTAATTTAACAATTTGTCATGTAACAACAACTTAAGAATGATGTCCCATTTATATAACGAAAGAAGTAAAAGTTATATAATCATTTAAAAGTTGAATGTAGGATTAAATTTCTAACTTGACTAGGTCCAAGTCTAAGATTAATGTTGGTCCGTGTCTGTTTTAGTTGTCACGCTCTCTGCACGGTAACGAAATCTTTCAAGAACTTTATGAGGGGTCCCTATGTGACCTGTTGTCCGTTTTACAGCATATGATAATTTTCATGTGGCAGTTCAAAGTTCAAGCCCGTAATCCCGGTCTACCTACCTTAAAGAATCTACCTAGTGTATGAATTGTTAATCTAATCTCGTTCTGAATATGCATAAAATATTTGGAAGTTAAGCAAGCAACGCATGTATGTGACAACAACCCTTACACCTGAATGGTGACTCATTTTTTAAAAAATTTCTGAAAGAATTGATATCGTCTAGTCTTCTTTCTGTTTATACAATTTTGTTTTCCTCTAGGTACGGTTTAATACCCTTGTACCGAATATCAGACAAAAATAGCTCGTCTGAACAGTAAGCTGTGCTTTGGAAGGATACAATTTCATTTTGATTTGTAAAAGATTTTTTAATTTGCTCTACTTTAATTAAAGATTTAAAAATAAGTTATGTTATATCATATGAAGGCCGCCATGGATGAGCAATTTTATTGAGGTTGTTGTGTAATATCACATGAGAACATGCAAAGTCAGCAGTTTTGTTGAAACTGACTTGAAAATACAAAATAAAAAACTTAAATGTTTTGTTATGATAATAATCACATGAGTATCATGGGACATATCAATGTTACTGCTTCATCGATTTGATAATGAATTATATAATATTTAAAATCGCTGCTAACTGTATAACATGCATATTCAGATAGCATGCCGTGTTTAATTATAGCATTCAACATTTAATTTTGAATCGGATGAACGGATGGATGGCGTTTTACGTCAAGTTTCAAATATTATAAGGACGAAAACAGGTTAATGTGATATGAATACGAAATCTTCTTTGTACAAGACCGACACGCTTAGTTAACTTAGTCGGGTTTTAAATGTGCTAGTTCACAAGGTACATATAACAGTCTGCAAGTAAAAATATCGCACTTCTCAGGTACTATCTCGTGACTCTATATTAAACAGTATTTGTTCTTGCTCCTAAGTGTCACGTGCTTAGTGAAAAACCAGCAAAACTGTCCAGAATACAAATTTTCAAGTTTTTGGTTTAATTCGTCCGGTGATCGAATCCATGACCTCGTCCGAAAACAAGGTGTTCACGCTACATAGAAACCAGTGAGGCGGTATCATTGAAACAGAGGTCAGCAAGTGCAGATGTAAATTTCACCTCTCATTCTATCGGTAACGTAAAAGAAACTCGGATAAAAAACAGAAGTGAAAAGAAGTCATGGAGAAAACCCCCAAAGTACACCCTATATTAACCCACACGAATGTCTAATATAAAAATGCTGGAATTTTCATATTTGTCGAACATTTCTCTACGTTTTCATTTTTATTTTTATTATTGCCGATTGTTTTAAAAAAAAAGTGATGCATTGTAACATCTGATCAAGAATATGAATAAAAGGAGACGTCGAAAATATGAGACAGCAACCCAGCAACACACATAACATTAATATATCTAGAGGACAATGTACAGTGACCTATAGCTGCTAACTTATATGTCATTTGGTCTCTGGTGGAGAGTTGTCTCATTGGCAATTATACCACATCTTCTTATTTTTATATTCAATATTAAACATGTGGCTATACAATATGCAAATTCTAAAAAAAACTTCTTAATGAATTAAACAAAAACTATCTAAGATCTGTAATCACACCAAATTCTCCAAATATAAAAAAAAATATGGTAAAAAGAAACAACCACTAACGAGGTGATGAAAGATTTTACTGTAGTTAAAGTAAAATTCTAGTCAAAAGTCTTTGACATATTCCCCATTTCCATTCTCAATTTTAATGTCAGGAAAATTGATGCAATGACAATTATCATATTATTTGAATTTGATCCCGAGGACTGAGGCAATATTTTTACCCGCCCGTCGGTACTCTGTCAGTCTTTCTGTCGGTACTCTGTCAGTCCTTCTGTCGGTACTCTGTCAGTCCTTCTGTCGGTACTCTGTCAGTCCTTCTGTCGGTACTCTGTCAGTCTTTCTGTCGGTACTCTGTCAGTCTTTCTGTCGGTACTCTGTCAGTCTTTCTGTTATCACTTTGTTGATTCCTTTATTTCTTTATTTCTTGCTGAATTTCCTTCACATTTCAGTGATTTCGAAGATATTTGTGATGAGTTTGATCAAAACCTTTAAAACTTTATTTATCTTGAAACTTTTAAACATGGAATGGGGCGGGGCTAAAACTACCTTTTTATTGATGTTTGGTCTTGTAATTTTTTCACCGGCTCACTAGGGATCTCTCAGTCGTGCATTTAAACAACACAAATCTTTTGGCTATATGCATGAGCAGCGACAATAATGGGTTCAAATTCATCAATTAGATAATTTAATTTTGGATGTAACACGTCTTCTGATTAGCTGAAAGGCTTTTTGTCTATCAAATTATAGACATAATTTTGTGATGTGATCAACGTTTTTTCATGATTTACTCCTTAAAAATGGAATTTACAATTAAATTATAAGGACCGACTGTAATTTTTTTTTCGGTCTATTCGAAATAACCTCAAAAATGTTGTGCACCACATTTTAATGTTTTTTTTTCATAGACAGAAAAAAAAATAGTACAGTCATTCCTTAAATAAAACACTTTACTGCAGACTTGTACATGTAAGATCAAGCAAGAATTTAGTTTTCAACACATGAGTGATAGTCTATCGGATTTTTTCTGCATTTACAAGTCTAATGACCAAACTAATTTGACTGATCTGACTCTTACCGTTGTCTCTGCGATTTTTTTTCGATCTACTTATATGAACCTGACTGTAATTTAATGATAGCAGTACGTAATAATTATAAAAACACTTCTAGGTTGAGGCTAGATAGGCAAAATAACAACAACAAAAGACAATTAGATAAGAATTCTCTTTTAATGCTCAAACGTTCCAACATTTTCATTACTCATAAAACAATTTTCATGTCCCCCATATTGATGTTCGCATATTGACACGGTATAATTATACAACCGAAAAAAAAAATTGACCTTCGACCGAAATTATTTGTATTTGTCCGTGACAGATACATATTTAGTACTAAAATACATTTATATTAGATGTTTCACATGGCACGATCTATTTTTCGAGGAGATTTGTCATTGATGTGTTTTATTGCAATGTTGTTTTATTAATAATAGGTGTTTTGAATGGACACCCACACGTGTTTTCGTTAATTCTCGCTGTGCTTACATACATTTACCATGTATTTACTTTAAATGTTTGCTTCAAGTCACGTGTCTAATTACTCCTTACAATGGTCGTTGTGTTCCTTGTAATAGGCGTTCTTTGATAATAAAAAAATGGCATCACGGTATAAACAGTACATCTGTCTTTAAAATGGCTCTACCTCTTATAATGCACCTCCCATTTAACAAATCTTAAATAGTGAATTCAGAGACCATAAAGGTAAAGTCATTTTTTTTCATTTTGACAGTTATATAAATGCGTGCGTAATTAATTAAATTTTTAAGTGGTTTATTTGTTGTATAAGAAATACAAAATGTGTAAATGATAATTAAAAAAAATGCAATTTATGATTGGCGTATTTGTGAATTTTGTACTTTTTGGAACTTGTGTGCAAACAATAAAAGTCAAATTATATTTGTTTGATACGTGTCACGACTTCGAGTTTTATATTTTGTGATCTAAAAAATAATATGTTTTGATCTTGATATAGTACGGAAGCGTATTACCGCCACACAACTTTTTTTTTATATTTCTTCCTACGTTTGCGTTATAACGCAAACCTTTGCGAAATAACGCAAACCTTTTGCGTTACAACGCAAACATTTGCGAAATAACGCAAACCATTGCGTTATAACGCAAACCTTTGCGATATAACGCAAAAAAAGTTTTGCGTTATAACGCAAACATTTGCGATATAACGCAAACCTTTGCGAAATAACGCAAACCTGTGCGTTATAGTTGCAAACCTTTGCGAAATAACGCAAACCTTTGCGTTATAACACAAACCTTTGCGATAAAACGCAAACATTTGTTTTGTCTTATTTTTTATTTAAGATTCAAAGGAAGCAGTAGTTGTTAATGGAGGAGGCTGCATATATTAAAATTTATCTTCTTTGTACTCATTGCAAAGTAAAACGCTTTACTATTTAACTAATAATGAGCAGGATAATAGATTAAGAAGATGTGGTATGAGTGCCATCTAAGTCATAATTGGTAAAAGTAAACCATTATAGTTCAAAGTACGGTCTTCATCGAACATCAAGCTATAAAGTGCCCCCAAAATGATATACATGATAATACATGTACATACATTACAAGGAAAATTGAGTAAATTAAAGTTATACCGAAGAAAAAAACAAACCCTGCTAATATAGCTATAGCCGAATATAAATATACTTCCAAAGTAAGCTCTCGTTTGAGGATCGTGTAAGGTTGGTTAACTACCCTTTTGCGATAAATGAATAAAATGAAGATGTTTTATTAATAAAATTATGTTCTCTCCATTTAGATTGCTACCAAGTTACCGCACTAGATTGAAAATTTCATGACTTTTTATCAAAGAATCTTTATCATATTCTGAGATTAAAAAAACGATTTCTTACATCAAAATTAGTGTTTGTCAAACTGCTATATAACCAATGAAATTTTTCTGATAAAGTGGTTGGTTCAAGTTTTTTGAAATTTTTATATTTTTGTCAAAGGGTTAAAGTAAACATTTTGTCAAAATTTTATGAAAATTAAACGAGCCAAATTAATATTAGTCAAGGTGTTGGGTACCACCTTAATACTAGTATACAAAGTCTTAATCCTATTACAATTCCAAATTTCCGGATGTCTAACGTAAACTGCACAGATCAATCGCAATATGAATTTCAGCACTCAGTTTACTTCATAATATGCATGCATTTATTTTGTCTTTTATATCTTCATATTCTGTTTCCTGGATGCCTTCTATTATTCTCATATTCATTATTGAAGATGTCTTGCCAACCTGATACACAATGTTTTCATAAGTGTAAGTCCTGGGGATAAATTGGATATCAGAACATTGTAAGGGTCTGCACAATTCACATGTTGGACAATCAAATGTGGGTTTTCGGATTACTTATCTAAATTCAGCACCTGTAAGATTGATAGATTGATTGGTGTTAACGCCACTTTCAGCACTATCGTGCTACTAATATTACGTGGCGGTCAGTTTTTATTGGAGGAGGAAGCCGGGGTGCCCAGAGAGAACCACCGACTTTCGGTAGAAAAACTGACAATCCTTGTCAATTAAGATTAGAGTCGAGCTCACTTGCCACGTACGGGAATCGCAATCACAACCTTAGTGTTGACAGGCAAGTGACACAGTAGTTCCACTAATTAAAGAACCAGCCCACCAAGGCCCTAGCACCAGTAAGAGCTTGACACGTGATTTTAAAGAATAGTTTTCATTAAGGTATATTGACCTCTAGTGTTTCTTCAGTATTGTGGTGTTACTTTCCTAGACTTTCATCCAATAATATTCGTTTTATTTTAAATCGGTTCTTTTCAGAGTATATTCAGGTATTCATAATCATTGTCAGTATATAAATTTTAAGAACTTTGTTAAATAAACTCAGACGCTATAACTGCGCTACAGGAGCACCAATTATACATAATACATTATAATTACAGATAACAGAATGATTAGAAATTATCTAATATATAGAACTATACAAATACAAGTTACAAAAACTTAATAGATAATATGAATATAGAGTTATGCCTTAGGTGCACTTGATTCGATTCTTGTACATAACCACCGCGTGTTAGATAGAATGCTGTGTTATAGGAATATGAATAAATATATTATTCGTCTACTAGATTATCATGTAAGTGAATTTAGCGGTTCGACTATATAAGAGTTTTACGATTATATGAGAAGTATGGTGTGTTATTTGCTCTCCCTAATAATACCATGAGTAGTTAGTCATAAAAACAAAAGTGTAGATAGGTCTTCAAAACCAAATTAATTTTATCCTGATGATGTATACAGTTTTTCCTCTTTTTAAAACAAAAACTATTGAAATAAGTTTCAAAGCATTTATCAATTTATAAAACTATGCAAATGAAACAATAAGTTGTCAGAGCATAAACAGCCTGTCTAAAAAGCAACTCTGTATAAAAATTGCGGAAATAGTATACTGCCAATGAGGCAACTATCCGCCAGAATAAGATTAATATGTTGCCATGAGACAATTACGCTCCAGAGATCAAAGAAACTTTTGACACTCCATTACAAACTGAATCAGTTTTTACATGTACTATAGAACAAAAACTGATTTGATAAATGGAAAAGGTTTTTTTATTATTTTTATACCGATGGTGTTACATATATAATGATATTTAATATATGTAACAGAAGAAAGACTGGTCGCCCTGCCAAATAAATGATTGATTACATGTGGACCTATGCTATTAAACTCACTAATATATAGACGTGAACGCAAACAATATAGAGTTTAAAGCATAGACACCCGTAACTATATTTTTTTTTATTTCATAGACTTGGGAAATAAAAAAACAGCAAACTTTTCATACGTATTATGCTCTTTTGCACGTGACTTTTTTTATTCTGTTTAAGAAAATTATTGCATACAATTACATGGCATACTCTAAGTTGCTAACATATTTAGTCTCTTTTAGATAATTGTCTAATTGCCAATGAGCATACCAAATCTCCTTATTTTTATATTAGTATTTTTATTGATTATAATAATGAAGATATGTCTACTACAGCCTTATTGATTTGATATAAAAATAAGATATGGTATGATTTTCAATGAGACAAAAAAATCATTAAAGACCTCATGAGAAGAATGTACACTGCAGGTCAACATAATTATGGCCTTCAATAATTAGTAAAACATATTACTTATAGTAAACCATATAACAAGTAAGTAATTATATTTTATTTAGAGTCGGCACATATATAATACATAACAAAGAGCAGCATAATCTCTAAATAACACACTCCGGCTTCCTCCACCAACACAAACTGACCGCCACGAAAGAGGACAATCGTGCTAAAAGTGGCGTGAAACACCAATCAATGAATCAATCAATCTTAATAACAAGCTCTTACAACCGACTTTGCAAGAAATCCTATGACAACCAACTATGCAAAATTTCAATTAACTCAAAAGAAAAAAAAATTCAATGAACTGATCAAATTTCTATATCAACGGAAAATGATAAATGGCACACATAATCCAACGACAACGACTGGACTTTAAGCTCCTCCTAAGCTCATATGTGCATAATGTTATAGAATGTTTCAATTGGTTTTTATTCGTTATGTCTAATAACAGCTTAATTTACACACATCATATAGAGACATAAATAGTGTTTAGCATTTGCAACAGTATCAGAGAAAAGTCGATTTTTACAGACAATTGTCACAGAATTTATTTTGTTTCGTTTGCCAGCTGTTGCCAATAAAGACAACGATCTGCATCCAGAAGATGAAAATGAAAATTCAATGAAATTCATGGAGGTAAAATGTCAGGAAAACTGAAAAGAAATTTAATTTCTCATACTTGACAAAATTCAACAAATTTGTTCACTTTTTACATCGCGATGACCTTGAGGTCGTTCCGATGTATTGCTATCGCCTAGATTTCCATTATGTAAATTAGTTTTGTAACCGATCTATAAACATGATAAATATGCGCACATAAACCAGTGCAAAATAACAAAATAACATTCCCTATCGTTTGATATAAATACATCTCTTCAATGAATACTGATAAAAAAAAATTTTTTTACAACATAAATTAATAATATGAAAATGTTTTGTAGTTAGATATATATATATATATATATATATAAGTAAAAAATCATTGATACTATCAATGCACACGTACCGAAAAATTGTGTTAAAGCATGCGGAAGAATATCTCAAAGAACGTTTTGCGACAATACCGGCAAGGACCGGTAACTCTGTTATTGTTTTTGCGGGAAAATATGAATGCCTACTCGTATCCAATCTTAGAAAAATCGAATTTTTACAGAAAAGTGTCCACCATGCACTTGCATTGCACTTTTATTAGAATAGTAGAATAGAATGATATACAAATGGATGCAAATCATATATATATGTTACTGTTATTTTAATATAATATATAACAACAAATCAGTGTATACTGATTTGTATCACTACAATATAATAGTTATTACGGTGAAGTTGAATTTCCTGTCATTTATTCATCATCCACGCACGAGCTTGTCTCAGAAAAAAAATATATCTCTGTACATTAACCTCAGTTTCAGGTAAAGAGATATGTTGTTTTTTTCTGAGACAAGTGCTTTTGACCATCCTCAAGAAATTGTGGTCATCCGATGTTCAGTACTTCAGTACTTTGATTAGATTCTGTTTTTGAGATGTACTGCAAATGCAATACGGTAACACAGATCAAATTTGCTGTATACGATGGAAAGATCAAAATCTGCTGTATACGATAGAAAGATTAAAATCTGCTGTATACGATGGAAAGATCAAAACCTGCTGTATATGATGGAAAGATCAAAATCTGCTGTATACGATAGAAAGATCAAAATCTGCTGTATACAATGGAAAGATCAAAATCTGCTGTATACGATGGAAAGATCAAAATCTGCTGTATACGATAGAAAAATCAAAATCTGCTGTATACGATAGAAAGATCAAAATCTGCTGTATACGATGGAAAGATCAAAATCTGCTGTATACGATAGAAAGATCAAAATCCGCTGTATACGATGGAAAGATCAAAATCTGCTGTATACGATGGAAAGATCAAAATCTGCTGTATACGGTAGAAAAATTCAGTATATAAGTCTGTTTCGTCTGCAGTATTTCGTCTGCAGTATTCCCAAAATCTATTTTTCCCTGGTGGTTCTTGAAGAAAATCTGCTGGTCCTCAATATTATTTCTATTGCAAAATACCAAAATTGTGTCTGTCCTTTGAACATTTTGGTGGTCCATACCTTCGGACCACCAGTTTTCGAGAACTCTGAAATCTGCTGTACACAATAGCTAAAACAATTGTTTTGAATGCAAAGCACGAGAACGTATCAAAGTTTTAAAAGCGTCAGACAGGTGCCATAAAGGGAACAGCAAGTGTTTACACTTCTGGTTAGACTCGTACTTATTTCTCTCGAATTTCAATATAATTCGAGTACTAGTACTTTAGGCAGTTTTTTTGTTTGTGTCGAGATTATTTGGGACATTACGTAGGTTGCCTTAATTTTCCTTTTTGGGAATTGATCTATTTTTTTAATCTTTATACATAATACTGTTTTTTTCTGCAGGAAAGATGAGCCCTATACTATGGATGCCTTTGTTTTTATTAAGTACACTTGCCTGTACAGCTGGAAAGTTTGTTTTCACAGGACCAATAGATAAAAGAGGCATATACACAAGACCAGTAGATATAGGAGACAAAGTAACAAGAACATTACAGATAGGAAGCAATACTACAAGACAAGGAAACATGGATATAAATAAACCAAGAACATTAAAAACTGGAGGCATCATTATAGGACCAGGAAAACTGGATAAAAATAAACCAAGAACATTAGAAACTGGAGGCAACATTATAGGACCAGGAAACATGGATATAAATAAACCAAGAACATTAGAAACTGGCGGCAACATTATAAGACCAGGAAACATGGATATAAATAAACCAGGAACATTGGAAACTGGAGGTAACATTATAGGACCAGGAGACATGGATATAAATAAACCAGGTACATTGGAAATTGGAGGCACCACTATTGGGCCAGGACACATGGATATAAATAAACCGGGAACATTGGAAATTGGAGGCACCACTATTGGGCAAGGACACATGGATATAAATAAACCAGGAACATTGGAAACTGGAAGCACCATTATAGGGCCAGGACACATGGATATAAATAAACCAGGAACATTGGAAACTGGAGGCACCATTATAGGGCCAGGAGACATGGATGTAAATAAACCAGGAACTTTGGAAACTGGAGGCACCATTATAGGGCCAGGAGACATGGATGTAAATAAACCAGGAACTTTGGAAACTGGAGGCATCATTATAGGGCCAGGAGACATGGATGTAAATAAACCAGGAACTTTGGAAACTGGAGGCACCATTATAGGACCAGGAGACATGGATATAAATATATCAAGACGATTCGAAACTGGAGGCACTATTATAGGGCCAGGAGACACAAGTATAAATGAATCAAGAACATTTGAAACAGGAGGTAGTATTACGAAACCAGGAGACAAAGGTGAAAATAAACCAAGAATATTAGAAACAGGAGGCAACGTAAGAAGAATAGTTAGAAGCAATACTTTCAAAGACCTAGGAAATGGTAATAAAGCACAAATTCAAACATTAGGTGGAATTGGTAGACGAATGACACTCGGAAAAATGCTGTCAACAATTCTAAATGGTACACGATCAAATTCTACAAATAAGAATGAAATTGGTGCCAAGTCAGGTTTCCAACGGTACATTCCACCCTTTGTTTTAAACATGAATATATATGAATGGATACCAAGGAAATTTCATCAAAAAGTTCATGATGACTTGATGAATGTTAGGAACAAAACTACAACCACTGATAACTTTTGATACATTTGTTGATCGGAACATATTTAAAGTAGTCTTGGAATGCATTAATTATTATACATTACAGTTGTAGATTTATTTTTTGTAAGAAAGTTAATGCATGCATCTAGAATTATTGATACATACATACAGACGTTTCAATGCACTCCGATGTTGATCTGTAGGATTTTATAAAAAATTGTTAAAAAAATATCTTTTTTGTTATCATTTAATTTCAGTATCACTGTGTGTAGTCATCTTGAAAGGATCGATATTCAATAAATCATAAGGTAATGCGCCCCTTGGTCTGACTCATTGAAAATCTACTCAAAACCTATGGATTTTATTTGCTGAGAATCTACTAACCGTACTGGCGATGCATTTATACGTGGAGTTTATGTCAATGAGTCAACAACCACAATAAAACCAAAAGACATCTCAAGGTCAACATATTACATTCAAGCGTATTTTTTTTTTTTTTTTCAATTAAAAAATTTATTTAAGATTATTTTATTTCAGCTGTTTTATACGTTATTGTTGTACATTTCTGTCTTAGAGCAGCTTGTCAATATAGTTTCTTTTTAATTTCCTTTCTTCTGTGTTGCTCAATCTGGTTTTCTGTGTGATGTTTTGTGGACTATTGTTTGTCTGTCTATTCGTCCTTTTTTTGTTGTTGTCTGTTCGTCCTTTTTTTGTCTGTTTTTCTTCAGCTTCAGGGTTTTGGTTACACTTTTATAAAAAACAAGGTGACGTGGTAGCATTGCGAATGATGCACCTACCATGCATGCAGCTTAAGACCAAATAATAAGGTACTAAGGAGAAAAAGAACCCCTGTAATAACCAGTTGATATGTTACAATGGAGTTAAGATCAGTAAAATGGTTACAACGGAGAAAAAGAACCCCCTGTATTAAATGACCAGTTAATATGTTACAATGGAATAAAGACAAGTTAATTGGTTGCTATGGAGAAAAATGCTACCTGTAATGGCCTGTTGACAGTTAATCGGTAACCATAAAGAATAAGAGGTACCTGTAATGGCCTGTTGACAGTTGATCTGTTACCATGAAGAATAAGATCTACCTGTAATGGCCTGTTGACAGCTGATCGGTTACTTTGAAGAATAAGATCTACCTGCACTGACCAGTTGATAAGATAATGTGAAGAAAAAGGGCTTAATGTACCTGTTGATTGGGTACGACTGAGAAAAGGAGTACATGTTGATGGGGGTACGACTGAGGAAAGGAGGTACCTGTTGATTGGGTACGACTGAGGAAAGGAGGTACCTGTTGCGACCTGTTGATTGGGTACGACTGAGAAAAGGAGGAATCTGTTGCGACCAGTTTATGGGGTACTATGTAGAATAAGAGCTTCCTGTAAAGATCCAAATCATTAAAATATTCCAGTTGACAGCTTTACAGTGTACAAGACATATGCAAAGTTTTAGTATTGTCATCCGTCCATAAGCATCTTATTAGTATTGTCACAATTTACCTCACTCCACGTTTCCTTATCGGTGTTTATGTATGATGATTTATTTGTTATTAAAACAATTCACAGAGAATCGATATATTATTTCTATACATTTATTCATACAGTCATTGCTTATTACATCAAAGCATTTGTTTCATAGAGACTGTACACATTCCGGCAAGTAAGTCAGTAATCTAGTTTGTTTGTTTAATCTTTTAGAAGGACACAACAAATAATGCTTTAGAAAAATAAGCAGATGTGATATGAATGCCAATGAGACATCTATCCACCAGAGTTCAAAAGACGTGGATGTAGGCTATTATAAGCCACCGAACGGCCTTCAACCATGAGAAAAACCAATACCGTATGGTCGGCTATAAAAGGCCCCGACATGCAAAATGTGGAACAATTCAAACCAGAAAATTAATGGCCTAATTTATAACAAAACAATTTACGAAAAACAAATAAGACAGACATGAACAAACGACAACCACTGACTTGGGACAGGCACATAAAGAATGTGGTGGGATTAAACAGGTTTGTGAGCGCTCAACCCTCCCTTAACCTGTGTAAGGGATGTAACAGCACAACGTAAGAAAAAACTGTAAAAATCAATTGCATTAGGCATAACTCAAAAGATCGGTACGAGGCACAAAAACAACTATATAAACTTCGGACGCACAAAATATACAAATTGTTTATTTCATTTACTTTCTCTGTCGACAAAAAAGTGAAAGCACGATAGTTTCTACAGGGACAGCGGTGACGTTTCACTGTCAATAAAAACACCTGTCCCTGAAAGCGCATAGTATACTGTATACTTGCGAGATAAGCGTCCGTCCAGATCCGATTTAATAATACACAAACCAGTCACAGAAAGTTAGACATCGCCGGGAAACGTCGTATGCATAGCTTACTGGAAATGTCACCTGACCATAATTATGCATACGTTTCCATCATCATTGTTCTTAGATGATTTGCATATTTACAAGTTCATGAATGTAATTGGTCCGTTAGTACTTTTTCCTTGGTTTACATTTCGATAGACCCTGTTGCCGAAACTACTATCGTAAATCTATGTAAACACTATTCAATTCTCCATTTTACAATGTCGATTTCAATATACCATAGCGCATAACAAATGTATAGAATCGTGGGTTTCTAGAAAATTGAACTTGAAGGAAAAAATTACAAATGTTTCGGTTGAGAGTTATAAGGATTGAACACATCTTTTCTAGATATTATTGATGTGTAAACTGGACTGATTAGAACACAAGGAGCTTTACACTACACATCAATAATATCGGACTTTTTTTATTTAGTTTGTGAGTTCGGCTTAGTTTATAAATCACTAACTTTTCGAAAAGATATATATATAACGCAATCATAAGTCTGAACGTTGACCAACCAGCAAATTTACTATGTACCGGATCGTCTAGAATAGACGATACTGTGCAGATAAGGAAAAAATTATATGTCTAGAGATTTGCACAACGATTCTAATATAAGATGGTATTATACGAAGATGTTGTTATTAAATCGTGTTTAATAACAATTTGATAACAACATCTTCGTATAATACCATCTTATATTAGTATCGTTGTGTAAATCTCTAGACTTATATATATATATATATATATAACAACGTTCATATATATTATAGTCTAATCCTATAGTGAGGAATCAACAAAGAAAAATATTTTAAGTGGAAATCTGCTTAAATCATTCTATAAGTGTTATTATTTCCGATGAGACAACTCTCCATCAGAGATCAAATGACGTAGAAGTTAACAACTATAGGTCATCGTGTGGCCTCAACAATGAGCAAAATCCATACCGCATAGTGAGCTATAAAAGGCCCCAAAATGACAAATGTAAAACAATTCAAACGAAAAAACAAACAGCATGATTTATGGCAAATCAATAAACGAAAAACAAATATGATATACAGCAACAAACGACAACTACTGAATTACAGGCTCCTAGTTTGGGACAGGCACATACAGAAGGCGGCGGGTTAAACATGTTTTGCAGGCGCCCAACCTTCCCCCTAACCTAGGACAGTGGTGTGACAGTACAACATAAGAACAAACTATAAAAATCAGTTAAAGGGCTTAAGGTAGATCTGGTGTTTTTTTTCAGAACACCCCTTCTGGACATATTGCAAAAATAATTTTCATGATCAGATCGATACAAAGCACAAAAAAAACCCTTTAAAAAAACACAAGGACAACCTCATTGTTGGAAAGGTACCTTGTCTAAATCAGAAATCCAATTTACTACTAGAAGTTATGTTCAGATAAATAAATTCCCATCAATACTCGCACAACAATTTGGACTGTATAGAGATTCATACTCGTGGAGTCAGGGAAAGGGTTTATTCACGTATAAACATTTAAAATGTGTTGTCATGCCGTTCGCCAATGAAATAAAACTAAACAAATAACATTTAAATGACATTCGACTGAACAAGTCTCAATTGATATTCATTATTTTAGTTTACGCACATGTATAATTATCTTTTGTAGACAATATGAATTCATTTGTCATTTCGATAATTGTTTTCCTAATTGCAAATGCCACTGTGCAGACAGTCTTTGCGCAGCACGACATATTTGGACAAATGACTGGACAAACTGGACTACTCGGGCAGATGACAATAGCCGATGTATTAAAATTAGCTCAACGTGGTGCTCAGTCCAATAAAAACCCAGAAAACGCAAAACTAGCTGCAATGTTAGCAAATGTTCCATCATTTGTCCTAAATGATCAAGCTTCAACATGGATACCACTATCTTATCAAAAAACTATAGCAAAAGATCTGTTAGCACAGAAGCAACGTAATAAACTGGTAAATGACCAGACAACATTGGCAAAAGTTCAGAAAGATCAACAAAAAACAACCCCATCTACGAAACCAATGGGGAAGCAACAAACTATGACGAAACAGATGAAATCATCGAATGGAATGTCGAAGCAACAACTTGCAAATGAACCGTCAAATGGACAGAATTATCAACAAACAACGCCATCAACAAAACCAACGAAGAAGCAACTACCTATGACTGAGCAACTAGAACCAACGAACAAACAGATAATGAATTCATTGAATGAAATGGCAATGCAACAGGCACAGATGATGATACTCATGAATAAAATGTTGATGCAACAGATTACAACTCCTTTGCCACTTTTTAATGCAAAATGAAAGAAAATACTTGTGTATATTAGAAAAAATAAATAAAAATAGTTTTAAGCTATAGTTATTATTGTATTCACTTGGTAAGACAACACTCGTTTAGCAATTGGTGAACATAACAAACCATCAAATAAAGAAAGACGACCAGGTACATAAAATCTAACCGTGTTAATATGTTATGACACCATAGCCTTAAGATGCCAGTTGTCAGTAAGATAATGTAAACAAATTAGAGGCGGAAGACACCATGGGGACATTCAAAACTCATAAGTCGAACAGAAACTGATAACGCCATAGCGATAAACGAAAAACGACGAAAGACAAGTAATATTCACAAACACTACACAGAAAACTAAAAAAGGAGGAACACGAGCTCCTACAAAATCGGGATTGGTCTTAGGTGCTCCGGTGTAAGATAATAATTGGATCTCTATCTTTTATTTTACCTTGTATGGCGTACTTTGTTGCTGTAGTATTTGTTGAGTTTTTTCATACAAACAAGAATGTAAATAAAACCGAAGAAGTATTTTATACTGTTCCCATTACCAGTGATTTTGGATGTCTGTTTTCAGTAAGCTTAAGACTAACATTTTTGTATCCTGAATGGCGTACTCTATTGCTCTTTATTGATATGCTTTCTTTACGGTAGCGGGTAAACACCAAAGACGCTTTGGAAATATGGACCCCCCTTTTTTTTTAAATATGTTTTTGTGTGTAAAATTTTTAGTAAATATTCATTAATATTTTAACTTATTTTCACT